TGGCTGGCTGATGGAATTCAGAGGAGGCCTAATCTATGCGATCTTATTGGTCTAGTGGAGGTAATTGGCAGTAGGCAGTCTCTCAAGTAGAGGCTTAGAAAGGGGGGGGCAATTTCCTTTGCTGATTTCCATTAATTGGTTTCAGTGACATTCTGTGGTTGAAGATTGAAGTTCCCCATTAGAGTCCACAATTGATTGCCCCTCTCCTACAGCCTTCCTTAGTCCAGAGCACACCAGGCTTGTGAGAGCAGCACTTTTGTAAGGATGCAAAAAGAGATAGTGCTCTACAACATCATCTTGTAGTACAGGTATGAGGTTGCTGATTATGATAAAAACAGGTTCGATTCACCCTAAATTATAATGTTGTTTGTTTGCTTCTGGATAATATTGTATGAACCTAAGCAATTGTGGTTTATACAGCAAACTAGTTAAGCAAGCACAGCAATGAAATTTGTGAATCCAATTGCAGACAACCTTCATTTTATCTCTACCTCTGGAAGCTGGTTATGTTGTCCTCCCCCATTTCAAAGATTAGAATTTCCTTCATAAACCCAATTCTTATTGAATATTTAGAAAATAAATAAATAAAATTGTCAAGAAAAATAAACTTCATGAAAAAACCCAGTTGGTCAAGTTCTTGTGTTTTGCATAAACACATTAGGCAGATTATCACCTCTCTTGTAGTCATTGAAAAGCCTTTCCCTAAATGCTAGAAAGGGACTCTTGATTTCATAGAAAAGAGAAATCTTTTTCCTAAAAATATGCTTGAATTGCCTAATGTCAGTTTGTTCCTCCAGACAACATCTTTAAAGACTTGGTTACATCCTTATAGCCTCACTCACAAATTCCCCTTTTACCAACCATTTGGATTAGGATTAGGATTAGGATTTATTTCATTCATATGCCGCCCTTTTCCCCGAAGGGGACTCAGGGCAGCTCACAACTTAGTCAAGGGAAAAGGAGGTACAAACAGGGGATAACAAAGACAAACAAACAATACACAATTTAAAACACACAACAACCATACCATTCGAGAAGGGGGGGGGGGCAGAAGCTCTTTAGCCCCAGGCCTGCTGGAATAGCCAGGTTTTAAGGCCTGGAGGGTGGTGAGGGTTCGAATTTGACTTCTATGTTGGAGATAGCAACAGGTTCTACATTCCTTTGTAGACTTTCTTCACTTTTTTTTTTTACCCTTTGCCCAAATTCAGCCCAT